ACGGAAAAACAGGTTATAACAATTCTTTGCACGTTTTCACGTCACAAAATTATTCGCTCACGCTACGAACCGACTAAAACAAATGCAGTCTACAAACTTCGATGGGTATTTGTTTCTGATTGTTGCTTAAGATAGTCAGTATAACATAGAAAAGCATTCAGTAAGCATCGATTTCCATTTATAACTTCTCGTTTCAATAATTCATTATCGTGGGCAGAAAAAGCAAAGAAACAAATCTAGAAGTTAGGAAATTAATTATTTTTTATTGGAAAAATGGTAAATCTTTAAGAGAAATTGGAAGTATTGTTTGCAAAAGTTATTCGACGGTGCGATCAGGGCCGCGTTTGTAAAATTTGTGCCCAGGGGCTTGTGATCTTCGAGCGCCTCGATCTAGCCTCCCTCTCCCAATGAGTAAACAGTAAATAATTAACATTTTAAATATTAATATAACTCTACCAAAACACACTTAAGAAGATAATTAAAAATGGAACATTTTTTTATGAATATATAGAAGCTGCGGCGCCCCTGACGCTTCGGCGCCCAGGGGCTCAAGCTCCAAAAGCCCATAGGTAAACGCGCTACTAAGTGCGATACGTTATTAAACGATACGAAGAAAGACGAATAGAAAATAAAACAGGTTATGGTAGAAAGAAATTATTAAATTCCTCAGAAGTGCGTTTGTAGTTAGGAAAGTTAAAGAAAATCCGAAAATAAGTGCTCCGCGAATAAACTCACTTCTTCAAAATTTCTCTGAAAAAGAAGAATTCCCTGTGTGTTACAATGAATCAATTTAAAAATTTCCAGAAATCTTCCTTTAGTAGTGAGGAACAAATGTCTCACTGGAAGTTGTTTCAAATTTCAAGTTCCCTCGATACTTTTTGTCGGCAAAACTAAAAAAACGTGCCCAGTGAGAAATGAAGTGTCGATCCGACATCAAATCGACGTCGATATGCGGGTTCGAAATGGGATCGAAGTTGACATCGACATCGATCTGTTTTTGTCTTTCATTTCGATGTTTTATCGACTGCGTAATCGACGTCTAGTCGATGTTGATTTCTATTGAGCAGATAAATATTACGGGAAATAATTAAATTTAATATATATATATAGTTAGACAGAATCAATATTTATTTTAGACAATAAAAACAATTGCTTTAATCATTAAAATATAATAAACTAGTCTATATAATAATACTTAAAAATTGGCTAAAATTTTGTATTCCGTTATTTTAATCATCGTTTTAGAAAATAAGTCATAGTTTATATATTAGTAAATAATGAATTGATTCTAACAAAAAAAAATTATTTTTTTTTTCAAAGATAGTTTCTCTAAATCAAAAGTTCCTTTTTCCTACAAAACAACATCGCTCAATAAAAAATGTACATTTCTCCAAAAATTAGAAAAACTTTTGACTTTAAAAAATTTCAATAAAACAAAACTTGCAAAATTTTTACTCTGTTATTAAAAAATAAACGTATTTGAATATTACAGCGCTTTTCAATGAAAAATTAATATAATAACATATCTCCATTTAGAGTAAACCAATCTTTCGAAAAAATTAATGACTTATAAAATTATAGCTAAGGTCTTCACTTCATAAAAGCTTCTTTTGCCAAATGCGCATCATTGGCGACTCTCATGCAAATTATAAATATTTCAGCACCAAAGTGTTCCAAATTGTTGACTTTTGTGTTTTGTGTCTAATGAAAAAGTAGTACGCACAAGAGCCGCAATTTTTGTTAGATATATAAGTTGTGACGATGCGTTTCACACACCGTCCCTAAAGCACCCAACCGCCAGAAAATAGGCTCGACGTCTATGACGCCCACGAGCGCTCGCGCCCATGCGACGCCCCAGCGTGGGGACCGCTCCCACCGCGCGATCGATACTCACAGGTGGGAGACCCGAGCCGGGTATAAAAGCCGGCTCGGCCAGCATAACGGCACCTGTCCCGATCCGAAGTCCTGCCTAAGCACTGCCTCAGGGAGCTCCCGAGGCAGTCAATAGCATTTCCGTTCCCGCCGAAGAGAGGTTGCTCCCTCTTCGAAGCCAGGGTGCTCCCGGTGTTCGGCCTTCCGCTACTTCCGTCGACGAAGAGAGGTTGCTCCCTCTTCGAAGCCAGGGTGCTCCCGGCGTTCGACTTTCCGCTATTCCCGCCGACGGAGAGAGGTTGCTCCCTCTCCGAAGCCAGGGTGCTCCCGGTGTTCGGCCTTCCCATACTTCCGTCGACAAAGAGAGGTTGCTCCCTCTTCGAAGCCAGGGTGCTCCCGGCGTTCGACTCTCGCCGCTTCCGCCGACGAAGAGCGGTTACTCCCTCTCCGCGACCGGAGTATTGCCGGTATTCAGACGCGTAAAAACTAGTACCCCCCGCACGCGAATTGTAAAGGCTTCCGCCTATCCTTCGCGACGCAACTCGCGCAGCCGCGCAACCATTGTAAATAGTAGATAAGATGAAATAGTAAAGACTTTGAGTTAGATCAAATCGAGTTACATCAGTCTGGACTTCCCCTTCTCTCGAACCCTGACTCCGGCGAGCCGATCCGCGGCGTCGAGAAAGGAGCCCCGTTACAATAGATGCAAACATAATAACTGACATCACGGATGGATCTGAGTATAAAAGAGTTAATATTGACAGAGAGCAGTATGATCTCACGCTTATGCTGAGTACTGATGGAGCTTGCATTAAAAAAAGTTCGAAGGTTGATTTATGGCCGATATCTTTCATGATAGCCGAGGTTCCACCACGTCTGAGGCGTCTTTTCATGGTGTATGTAGGGATATGGTATGCTGAATCAAAGCCAGAAATGAATACGTATCTAAGACTATTATGTTTAAAACTCCAGTCTTGCTTCGAACAAGGAGGTCTCACTTGGACCTATACTAAGAATAACAAGATCTTTAGAAGTAAAGTAAGAGCTCCTTTGATAGTAGCCGATGCTCTAGCCAGAGCAATGATTTTAAAGATGCAAAATCATAATAGCAAATATGGGTGTCAGACGTGTGAAATTAAAACGCAAAGGATAAGACAGCCTCAGCCAGGGAAGAGACATCGTCGTGTTTATAAATTTAGTCCCCATGGATGCATTATTTGAACAAAGGAGAGGATGTTTGCATTTGGAAGGCATGCCGAGATTGCTCATAAAATTATTAAGAGTTTAAAAGGAAGAACAGTGGTGCATATCTTGCCAGGAGCAGATGAAAGTACAATAGTATTTGATGAATTTATGCATCTATTGTGTTTAGGTGTAATCAAACAGGTTCTTCTTTTATGGACAGAAAAGTCAGGCGAGTGGAGCATTAAGAAGTACATTGACACTATTGATGATTTCTTAGTAAAGATGAAACCACCTAACACATTTGGTCGTTTACCAAGAGAACTGAAAATTCGCAAATTTTGGAAAGCATATGAATATTTATATTGGGGACTGTTTTATTCTATCTTCGCTGTAAGAGATTTCTTACCTGATAAATATTTTCAACATTGGATATTACTTGTTATATCCTTAAATTCATTACTGCAAGAGCAAATACGTATTGACCCTGATTTAGAAAGGACAGAGGTTTTACTTAGAAGATTTGTAAGTGAATTTGAAAATCTGTATGGAGAGGCTGAACTTACTTATAATTTGCATCAGATTCTGCATGTAGTTTTAAATATTCGACGATGGGGTCCAATATGGGGCAACAGTGCCTACGCTTTCGAAAGTTTTATTGGAATTCTGGCCAAAATGATTCCCCACCAACACATAAACGTTACATAAACGTTTAAAAACCGTTTTTCGGTTGTTGATCTGCTGAATGGTTTGTTTCCCAAACGATAAGAACGATCGGTGTAGAGCGGTAAGTTAAAAACGTCGCATGTACGTTTCGGAAACGTTTACATCCAACTATATTTGCACATTCTGCATTGATGAGAGACAAAAATTCTCCAATTGTCTACAGCCCTAGCCCCTTAGCGTGCACTTAGCATCATCGGCACACAGCGGCTATTATGCAAGTTTTTATCGATAAGCGAGCTCGACACTCGCATTTATTCTTGCGTAATAACATCTACGACCATTCATGCAATCTGATTGGCTCTGTATGGGGTGATCCGATTCGAGGTTCTTACGAGCGGCGTGCAAGGAAACAATTTCATTACGGAAGTGCAAACGCTTCACTACAGTGCACATTTCATTAAAGTTGCAATTATTGTCAACCGTTCCAGTTACCTAGACGCTGAATTCTTTGTGCGCGGATTCGCCATTGTTTCTCATTTATCGTGGATACAGTATAGATAAGGACAGGTTTTTAACTCGCATCACATTGCGTCATTTTCTCTTATAACTTCTCTAACCTGCCTTGTGATTTCCTTATATAACCTCTCATCTGCCTCAATTACATATTAAGAAGAAACCAATAATGAATGGTAAGTGTTATTTTTGTAATTTTTTAGCGGTACATTTTTATTGGATATAAATATATGTGTGTGTGTGTGTGTGTGTGTGTGTGTATGTGTAGTATAAAGAAACGTGATAATAATATTTTGTACATCACAATACTAATTGCTCTATTATTTAATGTGCCAACGAAGAATGCAACATTCTATTTTTTAAACCGTCAAAATTCAGTGAAAGATATTAGAAATTTGTAGTTAAAATCCCATACAGCACACAAACGTTGAATCAATATCTAAAAAACGTAGAATTGCAACATTATGAATGTTTCAGCAACGTTGCGAAATATAGATTCAATGTTGAAAAAATATTGAAGAAATGTCTAATGTCCGCTGAATTGCAATGTCTGCAAGACAAGAAACATTGATTCAATATTGATTCAACATTTAATCAATGCAGAATTTATATATATTATACATTATAATAATGTTTTGAAAAATTGAACAAAATAAATGTTTAAAATTAATTTTTATTTAAATATATATATTACATTGCAGCATAATATATTTTATATTATTTTATATTATATTTTGATAATTATATATTATATCACTTGTTTTTATTGAACACACAAATCATCTTAAATCGTCATAAATATTATCTTAAATCGTCATAAGTCATCTTAAATCGTCATAAATCATCTTCGGCATCATCGTGATTGCTGCATATCTGCATATTTTTGTTTTCATCAAGTGAAATAGAAGATTTTCTATAAATAAATAATAATTACATACATTATAGCAACACACTTTTTTATAGCTAATAAATAAATATATATTTGCATATTTATACATATTTATTGTTTATATATGTATATAAAGTTATATACATACTTTCTCTCTCGACGAGCTTTGGCCTGTACTAGCCATTTCGCTATAAATTTGGCAACTTCCTCCTCAGTCACGTCCTTGTAATGAATGCGGACAGTTTCTATTATAAATTTAATCAAATTAATACCAGTTTTCGATAAGCTGACAAATACTAAAAAAAATTTATAGTAATAATAAAAAATTTACTAAGTATGATTTTGTACAAAGTCAATTCCTGGAAAGCCTTTTTCTTTTTTATTCCGGCAAAACTGTACATTTCGGCCAAAGAGTTAGACATCAATTTTTTAAGTATATTAATAGTGCAAGAATGCACATCAACACCTCCTAGGCCTTTTAATGTATGTACCTATGATTATAAAGATAAATAATTTCAGAAATGTTCGAAGTGTTCTTGACATCGATTAACATTATTATTTTTAAATTAAATTGAGTTAGAAAATAACATACCATACTTTCAAAAAACTCATTGTCTTCCAATTTATTTTCTAGAGTATTAAGTGCTAATTCATCGCACAAAGGCAATCCCAATTCTTTTGTATTTAAAGTGTTAATATCCCCCTCACGTTTGTAATAAGAAATTAAACGACGTTCTTCAAGAATCTCCATCCTTTCATCTATCGTATTTATTTTATATAGAATAATATTTAGTTTGCGCAAAATTTCTTTTTGAAAATCTGTACAAAAAATAAATTTTAAGTCTTTTATATGCAACAATAATAAAAATAAATAGGCTAATCAATATCAGCAATAATAAATAATGATTTCGTGTAAGAAACAGTTATCGGTTTAAAACATTTTGCATATTTCATATATTATTAATAATTTCTAAAAAAGGGATATTTTATTATCTTAAAATGGTATTTTTTTTTATATGATAAAAACATATATTATAAATATTTAGTCTTAGTCTCGGTGTCCAAAGAGAAAACAAACAAATAAAAACTCAAATCATAAAGATAACTTAGTTGTAATAAATATTAAAAAATGATTTTTTTGCAGATTTATTTCTGCTTAACAATTTCTCCATTTAAAAAAGAAAAGTTGTAAAAAATTATTTGTTTTTATTATTCTCAACTGACAAAATATTTACCTGTATTATATGATAGAGATTGTTGTTTCGAGCATAAGATGTCAGATTCAATGTTATCAGAAGATATCTTTGAACCATGTTTTTTAAAATCATAAAGTGATGAACTTGCCATAAAGTACTGTTTTCTTGAAGTTCATTGTTACACTTCTGTTTCAATATGTTTTCCGGTACGCTCGAAATAGTGTTTGACTGTTCCTTTGCTATTTGCAATATGGGCAAAGGCGGTATTTCTTTACAGGTTTTTTTTTGCTTGTGACATGATTCATTTTCGGAATCAGAAGTATAGTAATTTCTTTTCTTTGCTCGCTCACGTCTAGATATTTTTTTTTCAATGTCATTTTTCCCAGAATCAATATCGGAAAATTGTTCAGCGATTTTCAATTTTTTTTATGCCATTTGCATGTGTATCTAAAATAATATAGTAATTAATGAAGTACTTGCCTATTGCTTACCATACAGAAAGAAATTGACAGCTGATATAAAGTTAAAAAGATACAACAAATTTTTCTCTCTCTTTATAACATCAATTTTAGCGAAAATTTTCTACTAGTGGGGGAAAAGTACACATAAATGTAAATGTCAATATACACATCATATATATATAAACACATTAAAAAAAAAAAAGGACATTAATTAATAAGTTAAAATGTGAACTTAATAATGTTAAATACAGTACCTGTTGTACCAAAAATTCGTAATATATTATATGACGGCCATATTAATGGATTCGGATCTTCTTGATTAAAAATAGCCTGATTAATCTTTGCTTGTTTTGTATAACTTGGCCAATAACATTTTTTATTATCACAATAAATCCATGACGTGGGGGCAAGTTGGATCCCATCCTCGAACTCCACAATCGAAAATATTCCCATTTTATTTATGAATTGAAACACTATGTAACAAAGATAAAAAATACTATTGTTAGACCAAAATAAACTTCATTATTATAAGTAATAAAATATGATGAAAATCGAGAAACAGATATTATATTTATAATAGTATATTTATAGTATATTACATAGTATATGGATGTTAGAAGAAATAATCAATAAAGTATGTAGATAAGAAAAAATGTATATATACAATAAATTTATTCGCGTATAAATCATTAAATTATTTATTTCAACTAGTGAGGATTTTATGAAAATTGGATGTATGGATTCGAGTACGTTTTTTATTTTGAATCTGTTGATATGTTTGGTTTGGTTGATAGTTATTCTGCAATTGGCGTAATTCAGAAATATGTTGAGGTTTATTTTCCAAATACATTTTTATGTATTTGTCCATATTTAATGACCATGAATTCTGCGCAAAAAAATTATTATAGTACTTTTAATATCAATAATCTGTACATATATATATGTGTGTGTGTGTAATTTGGATAGATATAGAATTGATGCTAGATCATAAAATTACATGAAAAATTAATATAAGAGATAGCATATATACATGCTAGATTATAAAATTACATGCAAAATTAATATAAGAGATAGCATATATGTATACTGAATTTAAAATTATAATAAAAGTATGTAGCAAATTAATAATGTACATTTTGTAGACTTACTTTTTAAAATATAAAAAAATTTTTTGTTTTTCAACATTTTACAAAAGGAAAAATTGTCTTAAAATTTGTTCAAGAATATGGCATTGCAAGGACAGTACATTGTTTTGAATCACCCTGTATATTTATATTGCAAAAGTCTCGCATACAAGCAAGCAAATGCGCGTCAAGATTATTATTATTTTTACATTATGTAGTATGTAATAGCGGAAACATAAATAATTTTTATCGTACCGCATCAGCCATAATTTCCCTGCTATTTTTGATATAGGATATACATGTAAGTTTACATCTTTTGTAACAATTGCGATATTAAG